GCGTCAAACGCAGGCCGAATCAGCTCGAAACTCCGCAACTGGTCAGTCGGTTCGTGTCGGTTCTTCGGGACACGATAGCCCGAGATCAGAACCTTCGTGCCGCCTTCCGACTCGTCGAGTATGACTCGCGGCAAGAAGGGGCTCTGCAGAAGGCACTGGAGGCTGCCGTCTTCAAAGACGAGGCGGAAAGTGAGGAGCCGGCAATCGCATCAGAGTCAGAACCTGAACATGTGCCAGAAGATGTGGGTGCTTACCTCGCCTGGAGCTTCCTCCACGGCTACCTGAAGCTGGCTGTCGCTCAAAGGAATGTCGCCAGTGAGCTGGAGAAGCTGCAGAAGGACAGCGGTCTGAACCTGCCACTGAAGCGCATTGTCATCATCTGTCCGACCGAGCCAAACGACTGGACTGACGACATCACAGAGCTGGATGAACATCTCCAGCCCGTGAAGGACGTGGGAGGCGTGAAGGCCGCGGTGCCGGCGCTCTCCGGCAGGAGCTACGGCAACTTCTCCATCTACCGCTGCGGCTCGGAGGTCGGCGCCAGCTGCTTCGCCGTAGAGCTGGCCACACCTCTGCGCACCCTCCGTCTCGGGGTGACCGCGGCCAACGTCGACCCCAGCGAATACACCAGAGCGGCGGCCCAGTTCACCGAGGAGCTCGGCAACCTGCTGAAGGAGTTCCCTGACGTCGCCGCACACTACTGCCTCCTGAAGGCTGACAGAGGAGAGCGCGTGCATCTTCAGCTCAACCAGCTGGCTGGAGCAAGTCGTGGCGCAAGTCAGGAACCGGCGAGAGCATTTCAGAAATACTGCATCGTGGCGTAATTCGTGCTTGCCGTGTAACCAACGCGTGTTCAAGTTGATGTGGGCATGGTCAAACGGACATAGACGAGTTTGCTCTAAAGCATGGCTATCGTCTTTTAAATATGGAAGGCTTAAACGTAGCAGTCTATCTATGTGGGCATGGTCAAACCGACGGAAACAGGTTTACTCTAAATCATGGTTAGCACCTTTTAAATTTACACGGCTTAAACGTATCAGTTTTTATTTGTTCCTAATGATAAATAAAAATACTAATGAATAAAAATTTGTTTTTTATATGACTAAGGTCCCCTTGAAATGCCCACCATACATCTTTGAACAAAAATGTTTTTCGCACCACAGGTGTGGAACTTGTTTCGATATACACAAGTTGATCTTACGCAACTGCTGTGTCATTTTGAAATGAAAACTATTCATAAAAGTCTACGGAGTTGATGCAGTTGGTTGACCCCCACAAGCTACAGCATTGAAAGTGGCGCTGACATCTAACATCTTATGCCAACAACAGACAACAACAGAGCATTGAACCTAACCTCTGCCCAAGTCACGGAGAGACACCAGTGTGAGAAACTATGCGAAGAACGGTTTGGGAGTGGCCCCCACCTGCACCCCCGTCACCCTCCATCCAAAACGGGCCAGTTTACCGGCGCATGTAACTGCTCGGCGTCTTCAGATGCTGAGCCAGCATACATTGCTGAAACGAAAAAGATATTGTGACTTGGAAGTCTTTGTGGGTATAGTTGTTAGATGTTGATATTGTGCCGGCTGCAATGTTAACTTTTTTATAAGTGTGTGCCTACTGTGTTGCTATCATGGTTGCGAAGAAGAGCTTTGATTTAATCGGATTTGATAATTAGTCTTATGGACGATGAATTGTAAATAGTCATTAAATGCTGATAGAAGCTTGTGCCTATGTATAACCCGCTTGCGTCATGTGACCCTATTGCGCACACATGACATGTACATAAGTCATGTACCATGCATCATGTACATATTTTATCTTCCTAGCCTTAATTCGCTATAAATTATTCGGTCTTGCATATACCTATCATGGATGCCTTCTAGATGCATGGCTTTGATGGTAATTATGCCTGTTTGATTTAATTTTGTTGTGTTTTTGTGTTGCTTTGTGTCCGGTGATGATTAATGTGCTAAATACAGAGGGTTCAAACTATTACAAACAGAATCAGCGGCAGTTTCTAACTGAGATATTTACTCATTAGATTGAATGCTGTAGGAACGGAAAACATCTCGGGTATCGTACGCAGGAAATGGAGCGTAATGAAGCCGACACAAGACAGAAATGAAGCTGAATTCGAATTTAGCAACCATTTTGAACATTTACAAAGTAGTTCTGGTGCCTTCGTAACATGTAACGAAGCTATCAGAGGCGGTTGTACGAATACCCGGGCCCTGTTTCACCGGTGATAGCAGCAAGCTGCTATCACGTTTCGCGAGCTGACGTCATGTCGTGACGCCATACTGTTGTCGTAATGGGTAGTTCCGGCGCACGATTGCCGCGACCTTGGCGGCGGCATTAAGTGACGTATGAGCCTAAAAGTAAGAGTTTACGCAGTCATGATAGTAAATATATTTTTGATATATATTTTTTCAATATGATGTATTTAAAAGAAGTTGGGTTTAGGAAAAATTTTGACATTAACTTCGAACATTTAGCTGATGACGTAAAACAATATTGCGGCAATCGTGCGCCAGAATTGCCCCTTACGTCAGCAGTATGACGTCATCACATTACGTCAGCTCGCGCAATTTGATAGTAGCTTGCTGCTATCACCGGTGAAACAGGGCCCCGGCAGGACCCCTACTGGTTGATCTAACGCGACATGACCCGACCTAGTCTAAATGCATCAAGACATCATCTGTGCTTAAACTTAACATGAAATTCGTGATCAGCCCCCCGAAAAAAAAACTCATGGCAATCTGAATTTACGATACTCAAAACAGGTCCCGATCTTCCCGACTTTTGGGTCATTGACCTTACCAATGACCTAGGACCATTAAATTGGCTATTAACGGCTGCCTCTCGTCACGGGCAGCATGCGCGTTTTTTTTTCGTTATAAGCTCTTGCTCGATCAGGGGCCAAACGGCGAGAGGGGTCCAGCGCCCCCCCCCCCAACCTCGTTCGCGGCTGGCAAAACACCAATATACGGGCGAGGGTTAATGAGGGATCCTACGAGCCGCCACGACTTTGTCCATTTTTGTCACGGAGTTTGTTTATTTCCTTTTCATATGCATGTTACCAACGTTTATTTATCTCCTCCATGCGATTATCACCGTTTTGCATTTGCATCCACACTTTTCCTCCTGAACACTTGCCTCGCTGAGGCACAAGCCCGTGTCCCCCCCCCTCCCCGGGGGGGGCTTCCCTTTCTAACGTCTGAATCGTAGAAAAGGGTACTGGGGAAACAACAATGGAAAGCTGTTAACAAGATGAAGATTTCTCTCGAGCAGATCTCTTGCCTGGAGGCTTTGGCGAACGAACTAGTTATTAGCTGAGAGTGATAATCCAGAACGCGTTGAAAAGCCATAAGACAGCAAATTATGTCACAAAAAAGTCCAGAATCAGGTTAGGCCAGTAGGTAAAGACCCATTAGCGAAAGCTAATTTATTTTAAATTAATTTTAGGCGTCGCAACGACTCTGAAACGTCATACTCTTAAAGTTATTTACTGTCGAATTTTCCAAGTATCAGGTCATTTTGACGTAGAAAATGGACTGAACGTTTCACTCAGCTAGCTTAAACCGTTTAGAAAATATTGCAGAGACACTATGAGAGGAACATTACTTAACCCCCCTCCCAGCTGGATGCGCGTGACGAATTAATTCGTAATGAAAACTTAGTAATTCCCACATATTTATAGGTCGGGAAAGCTACCAACAAGTCGGCGGTACAAACGCTAAAAATAAAATATTCATCCTCCTTGTGACCTATGACCTGGATATTGCATTTCGAAAACCTCGTGTTCGAGAGAAGGCATGGTAACGCCCATAGAGTTCAGTGGAACGCCCCCTGCATTGACCGTTGGCGGCTCGCTCTGTTTACACTGCTCTAGAAGCGGCATGGTCCGGGGTGCCGGGGTACACTCGCCCGGCTGTGCTATCGGTCCGGGCGGCCCCGCAACGCCGCGGGAATACGGCCGATCTTCCCCCTACAGTAGAGACATCTAGCGAGCGGCGGCTGAACTAGCGGCCCGATAGCGCCCGGTGCTGGTATATGCCAGGGGCGCGCAATGACCTCTCGTGACCTATGGCGGATGGCCGGTAGATGAATATATTTGCAATGAATTAAGGCCTGGCTACACTATGCGTTTTCTGCGTGCGTTTTTTGCGAGTTTGCGTGATTTACGGAATATCGTTCTAGAAAGAAACGATATTACGTTTTTGTTAGGTATATCTTTTTCATATAAACTCTTAATTAACATAAACGTTTTATTAACTTTTATATAAATATTAAAGAAGTTTAATTAATAATAACCTTTTTTCTAGAACGATATTACGCAAAACCCGCAAACACGCAAAAAACGCACGCAGAGAACGCGTAGTGTAGCCAGGCCTTTATGCACCCTCACATTGTGCGCACCAGCAACCAGGGGGAGAAACTCCAGTCTGAACTGGCCCTATTTCCTACTTCTGGGTGGCGGTTGTGAAATAAGGGCCTCGAGAGTGGCCTACGGTAGTGACTAGTGACTCATGCTAGCCGAAGGCCAATTGCGACGCCTGCGCCATCTGTGCATACCATTACGGCATTGCGGGGGTTCTCCTCGGTTCACCGACAGACGGCGGTAGTGAGGCACCTGAAGGCTTGGCTTCGCATTTGCTGTATAATTTAGGGCCTTGGCTATATACATATACCGCCAACGGCAACTACACCTTTTTACGGCCAAATATAGAATGTGCACATTGCACTGACACAATTCACTAATAGTGCAACCGATTTCGACAGTTGGCATTAGACAGACTGTACCGTACTGTCGAAATTGCATGCACTGTTACTTAAATGTGTGCAGTGTGCACTGCCGCCTAAATTGGGCGTAAAAAGGTGTAGAACGTGTTATCATTCACGAACCAGTGAGTGGTTATTTTACTGTGCTGTTTGTATAACACTGTCGCTCTGAAGTTTGTTTTGGCTGTGGACTGACCGATTGTTTTTCTTTGCAGAGGAGATATGCCCGACACCGGAAGATCCGAAGGGTGGATACCAGGAGTGCTCCACGTGGGGACCTAACGGACGCTTCCGCTACTGTCAGATCAGATGCGACCCGTGAGTATGGGCAGCTAATGCGCAGTCCACACGGCTGAATAGATGAGTGTGGCTTGGAGACACGTGAAGCTCAACAGATGAATTAAGGACCGCGTGACACAACGAATAATTATGACACGTCATGATGCGATCAGTCGTACGCGCTTTAACTTGCCTATTGCAGCTGGCCTGTTTTCAATTAATGAGCTGGGATCAATATGTTATATTTAGGGAGTTTTGTTACAGGAAGACTAGCTCCGAGCTCAGGGGTTTCGATTATCTGGTAAAGTGCGTGGCTTTCATCACTCGTTTAGTTTAAATTGAAATGACAGGTGTTACGTCTGACTCAGGTTTTACAGGACACCATCTCAACAATGAGCAATCGGTGACATTTGCAATGAGCTTGCTCTTATGAGTCATGACACTGACTGTGGTTTCCTGACAGTATTAGTGACAGTGTCGATGACTGTTCGGTGGGCGCCGATGACCACTGTAGTCCGGGCGCCCAAAAACCCTAATTCATCATCATCATCATCATCGATGACTGTTCAGCGTGACACCATTGTTTAGTGTTTACGTTTAGCTACAGACCAACACATGCCCAGGGCCCATTTCTGAGTTCCATGATTTACCCTAACACTGTCTGTATATGTCTCTTTACAGAGGACTGCAGTTCAGCCAGCCTATTCCCGACTTCTATGTGTGCGGCCCTGAGGGCTTCTGGCGACCCAATGACCAGCCCAACACGCCTCTCATCTACCCCAGCTGTGCACGTAAGTCGACGGAGACACGGGCGTCATCTATAGCACAGGGTGTGTAACTAGCAAATACGGAGTGCCTCCGCCAGGCGTCGCTACTTCATATATATTCATATATTCATGCGACACAATCACAGTTGCCAAAGAATGGCCTTGGTGATGTTTGCTAAAACGCATGACGATGACGATGACCAGCATCCATCCATCTAACAGTCATACGCAATCACATTCAGGTTGCTCTCTCATTTCTAACGACAATCGCACACGTTCGTTCCATGCACATTTTGACATTTTTACAATCATAGGCACACAGTACACAGAGCATAAGTTATGTAATGTGAAAATAGTCGACATAAAATTGATTTCAAGCATTTGTCGTTCGCAAGGGGACTACTATTGTTAATAAAAACTAATTGTCATTTTCTTCTAAGACATATTTTTGGAAAGCTGCGGCACTTTCTGCTTCTATGAGCCTCGCAGGCAAGTTGTTCCAGTCACGGATAGTTCGAGGAAAATATGAGTTGTGATAGGACAAAAGTCGTGATTGAAGTCGTCTAACCTTTTTGCTGTGATCATTTCTTCCTATGTAATCAGGTTGTATGAGGATGCCACTGACATCTAATCTGCTAAAGCCACTGCATAATTTAAACATCAAGCATAATCTAGCAGCTCGGCGTCGGGCCTCTAGATTTTTCCAGCCAATATCAGACAACATCCTGCTAACACTACTATCCCTCGAATAATCATCTAAAACAAATCTTACAGCACGTCTTTGTATCATTTCTAGTTCATGCTTCGTTCCCTCTGCACTTGGATCCCAGACACAGCTTGAATATTCTAACAGTGGCCTGACTAAGGTCAAATAGACGCTTTCCTTAACAGTCTGCGGGCAGCCTCTAAAATTTCTTTTGACAAATCTCAACATTTGATTTCCTTTACTTGTAACATATTGTATATGTTTTTGCCAATTACATGTACTCGAAAGGTGAACGCCTAAGTACTTATATTCTTTAACTACCTGGACTTCTAAACCATTTAGATAATATTTCGGTGTTTTTGCACATTTTTGTCTGGACATTCGCATTATAGCACACTTTTTAACATTAATAGTCATATTCCAGTTTTTGCACCATCGTGACAATTCATCTAAATCTGTCTGTAAGGTGACGCTGTTACAGTGTATGGCATTTGGAGCGTGTTGACTGGACGTAGTGTGTTCTTTTGGGTGCAACGCCAACTTGCAAATTGCAGGTTCGCTGTGCGGTACTTGGTTATAAAATAACATACTCTGTCACTATTCATCAAGCATGTCATAGTTAAGGCCAGTGGAGTGATTTGCGGGCATCGGTTGGTGATGCCATTTATTTCGTCGGTTGTTTGACAATGCCGTATTCATTCTTCTATTCTATAGCGGCATGCTGTATTTTGTAAATGGTTCAGCAATTTGACGTGTTTCTGTTTGTTTTTTGCAGCTGCCGAGCAGGCACAGCGTGTGGTCAAAATCAAGATGAACTTCCCCTCGTCTGTGTTCTGCAACAACGCCGGAAAGAACGTTCTGGACAAACGCATCCGGGAGGCCCTGCAGAAACTCAACAAGAACTGGAACTTCTGCATCAACACCGTAGAAGGTGGGTCCCGCCATGGAGAATTAGCATCCACGGCTTGGAGATCTTCGATAAGGGTGTATACTGTGTAGACTCAACACACCCTGAAATCCCAAAAAGTTCGAGTCTCGCTAGTATAGCTCCATGGGTCTGCTTACGATCAGCGTAGGTCCAAACTCTAGATTCCGTGCACTCGTCAGTCGTCATCCTTGATAGAAGATTCTCGTAGGAAGGGGATTTTACATACAAGAATGATCAGGAGGGTGTCTAGAACCCCATTGTTCGCCTTAGGAATTATGTATCATTTTGGTATCAGCGGGAGAGGGCCTCTTGGAGTTTTTATCGGGTGAGGTGTAGACAATTTTGGTCTATTATGACCGTTTCAGCTGGTTGTGGAAAGAGAGGATGTGGGGGCGTAGAGATCTGATATACAATGTATATATGATCTCTATGATCCGGCTGGATTGAAAAGTAATGCTGAGTCAATCAAAGACTACTGCTCCTGGGTGGCTGAAGATATACAATGTATCTATGATATCTATGATTAGACTGTGCTGAGAGATATCACACTGTCTCAACCAAGACTATTGCTCCTCGGTGGCTGACCCCATACCTAACGTTGTACGGGAGTGTCGACCAAGCGTATTTGGAAATTCCAATAACAACGAGCGTCGGTGGTGGAAAACCGTCACTTGGGTGTCGGCCGATGCAGGCACGGGTGGTGGTTGAGGCGCCCTCTACCGGCCGCACTGGGGCTCCTGGTACTGCCCTGCGCCAGTGTCTGGGTCGTTCATCGTCAGCATGGAGCAGAGAGATATGGTCAAGAAGGATTGTGATCCTGAAGACAGCGAGGATGAATGCCAGGAGAAGCTAAGAATTCTTGTCCATCTGTGGGTGGTGCGAACGGTATGGAGAGATAGTTGTGATAGCATGGGTCTGATGAAGTCTGTGAACTGTGGTGGGCAATGTGAATCTATCCTGAATTTTAAAATGAACGCACAGTCGCACATTAATTTCCAGTGTGGCTGATGCAGATTTCATTTGTGTAACACCTGGCGTTTAGAATGTATTCTTAGAGTAGTAGCATACTTAGGCAAATATTTTGGCGAGGTTTGATTAAGTGAAGTAGTTATTTTTGACGACCATTCAACGTATTTCAGTCACCGCTGGGAAAATCGGGTCTTCGAGTTTTCGATCACGGGAATGCTACGGAACAGCACTCAATTTTAGGCCACAATCAGTTGTTTCTGACGCGGATTGTGTCCCGTCCGTCAATTATTTTTAGATAACTCCTAAGCCGTTCCAGATATTAGCATTGGGCTTACGTTTCCTTCCATCAACTGATGATAATCAGCTGACAAAATGCTGCTGAAATTGGTAGACATTGACTGGGCATATTCGAATTAACAAAATTACGTTGGAAGTCTTCCTGAAATAAATAAAAAATAATTTGAAGAAGGAATAAACCATATTTTTATACGAGGTTCATACATTCTTTACCATTATTTTCTAGATCAATGGAATGTAAATTAACGCTATAAAATTGCATTCAGGGACGTGATACTGACCCTGGTAATGGTAGGATAATAGGGTGGCATTATGTTCATTCAACCACCGACCGGTGGGCCGCAGTGACTGAGCCCGCCTCTTTGGAATTGGCGTGTCACGATTTGTAACCGTTTAACCAACCGCTCAAACGGTCACCTCATAATAACCAGGGCCCAGTTCATATAGAGCCCCTATGCTGCTAAGGGACACTTATCGGAAAGGGCGACTCGACATACGGGTTCATGTAGCCACCCTTACACACCTGCACCAATGTTTCCAAAAGTGTCCTTTTGAAAAGTGGCACTTTGGAAAAGTGACACTTGCCGACTGGCTTTTCTATATGAACTGGGCCCTGCTCCTATTTAAACTGCCCTACTCGGTATTGGTGGAGTGACCGGCATCCCGGAACAGGAATATATGGTCAATGATTATATGGGTTGGTCCCGATTTATTAGGATGGAATAGACGCCGATGAATTCTAGCGTAAAAGTTACGCTCGCACAAATATCCGCACGGAACTCGTCGACCTATTTTCACGCTGTTTACTGGGACTTCATTCCGTTTATATCTGAAAAACACATATGCAAATCAGCTCGACAAGAAAGGGTAATAGCTACCAACTCAAACTGCTAGTCTGAGGTAATTAATCTCCCCAGCCCTCCCCTCATTCCTCCATTCCTCCCAGCGCGTCTCCGGATCCCTCTACCTGGAGCGGGCCTCTTCGTCTCCGCACTCTCTCCTCGCGTCCAGCGGCGGCGTCGACTGCGCGTGCGAACAGGCCCAGCCCCGGGGTCAGGTCGGCAGACGATATCTGCCGCCAGTCGACAGTCGACCGCCGTCGAGGGATCAGCGGTGCCGGTGCGCGCGCGGCGACTCGGCCATCACACACGTCACCATGGGAAGGAGGACTTGTGTGTCGCTTTGTGCTGTTCTGGCTGTGGTGTGTGTAGTGTTGGTGCCATCGCGGGCGGCACCACCGGCCGTAGAAGCGATTCAGCTCTCAGGTATGTTCATTGGGGTGAACGGACGACGCCGGCCGGTGAATGACTGGGCCGATAGCATGAGGTGTGACAGGAGAGCTCTACCTGTCTTACATGGCTGGAGGGTTCTACCTGACAGGACAGGGTAGGTAGACTCTACCCAACGGGCAGCAAGGGGACAAACAAGGTGGACTGATGCTGACGTGGGCAGCCCCGGCCGCAGTGGGGGGTCCGTCGCGTCCCCATTTTAAAAGTGAAGGATAATAAGCACCTGCAATCGGTGATTCCTCAGGAATGATAATGAGCGGATCGGGGTGGTCAGTCGGGCGTTTGGACGGACGGTGGACGGACGGACGGACGGACGGACGGACGGACGGACGGACGGACGGACGGACGGACGGACGGACGGACGGACGGACGGACGGACGGACGGACGGACGGACGGACGGACGGACGGACGGACGGACGGACGGACGGACGGACGGACGGACGGACGGACGGACGGACGGACGGACGGACGGACGGACGGACGGACGGACGGACGGACGGACGGACGGACGGACGGACGGACGGACGGACGGACGGACGGACGGACGGACGGACGGACGGACGGACGGACGGACGGACGGACGGACGGACGGACGGACGGACGGACGGACGGACGGACGGACGGACGGACGGACGGACGGACGGACGGACGGACGGACGGACGGACGGACGGACGGACGGACGGACGGACGGACGGACGGACGGACGGACGGACGGACGGACGGACGGACGGACGGACGGACGGACGGACGGACGGACGGACGGACGGACGGACGGACGGACGGACGGACGGACGGACGGACGGACGGACGGACGGACGGACGGACGGACGGACGGACGGACGGACGGACGGACGGACGGACGGACGGACGGACGGACGGACGGACGGACGGACGGACGGACGGACGGACGGACGGACGGACGGACGGACGGACGGACGGACGGACGGACGGACGGACGGACGGACGGACGGACGGACGGACGGACGGACGGACGGACGGACGGACGGACGGACGGACGGACGGACGGACGGACGGACGGACGGACGGACGGACGGACGGACGGACGGACGGACGGACGGACGGACGGACGGACGGACGGACGGACGGACGGACGGACGGACGGACGGACGGACGGACGGACGGACGGACGGACGGACGGACGGACGGACGGACGGACGGACGGACGGACGGACGGACGGACGGACGGACGGACGGACGGACGGACGGACGGACGGACGGACGGACGGACGGACGGACGGACGGACGGACGGACGGACGGACGGACGGACGGACGGACGGACGGACGGACGGACGGACGGACGGACGGACGGACGGACGGACGGACGGATGTCCGTCCGGACGGACGTCCATCCGTCGGACGGATGGACGGATGGACGGATGGACGGATGGACGGATGGACGGATGGACGGATGGACGGATGGACGGATGGACGGATGGACGGATGGACGGATGGACGGATGGACGGATGGACGGATGGACGGATGGACGGATGGACGGATGGACGGACGGACGGGCTTCCTGACGAATTGACGGAGGGACTGTCGGACAGACGAGCAGACCCATGGATGGACAAGCATGCATACCTACATATAGACAGACGGACGGACGGACGGACGGACAGATTGAATGACGGATAGACGAGCTAACGGTATGACAGACGGAACTGACAGACTTCCAAACTGACGGACTGATAGCTAGAGACGAGGCGAGGCCAAGCCCTCTGTCACGAGGTGAAGTGGCTTAGCTGATTTGATCTGGCTTAGCTAACGGTAACCGTGTTTACATAGGGTTCCCTTAATCTTCCCCTATTTGTCTCTTAAATGTCCCTTATAAAGGAATCCTCTGTCTCCTTTACCTCGCTTCACTACAAATATGGCGCAACTAAGTCATTCTAGAAGCAGTTTGCAATTGTTACTTACCTTTAGGGCTCTCCCAAATAGCTTCCAGACTAGACACTGAGGTAAAAGTGATAGCACATGAAAGCTCAAAGCAAGAACAATCAGAAAACTATCTAGCATTTAACATACTTTAAACGGCTGAGCTATTATTCAAGTAGGTGTAATCACATCCACCGCAATATCAGAACACCGCACCTGTCGAATTCAGGGACCGCGGATTCCGGGGGGCAGGGTGTGCAATTGCACACCCTGAAAATCCTGAGGGTGTGCAAACACCTATTTTTGCACACCCACAGATCGTTGTGGGGGCCCATGCGGCCCTGGCGCTTGAGTGTCCCAAGCCGATTCTCGAGGGCCCCAGCGCGAGCCTGATGGTCCCGCACCGGTGCCTGAAGGCGTGAACACTGAACAGGTTCTAGTGTTATCTCAGGGGTTATCTCAGAACCCCACCCACGCCATTTTTAGCGCTCCCACCGGCTCTTGAGGGCCCAGGCCAGTGACGGATCCAGGGGGGGGCAAAATGGGCA